TTCCTTAGCACAGCTGTCAGAAACCTCATGGCTGACACGTCAGCATAACTGCGCATAACCTCAGCCAGTAATAAAATGTAGTCATGTAGCGACCGTGGACAACGCCTGACCAGTTAGGGAGTTGTTCAAGAATCACTTACTCGATAACGGTAACTCAGATAAAATGCTAATAAGGCAGCGACTGAGGAAGTACTCGTGAATTCCGTCCATTGTAGTTATCCAACACCCAGTAGATCCTTGCTCCAACTCGCAGTAGATATGAGCGGGAACGAGCGCACGCTGCCCAGTGCCAAGCTGATTTAGAGCATTCCGACGAGAACGGTCGTAAAAGCTGACAGACACAAAACGAATGGAGTGCAAGCGACTTCGACGACTTCGAAAAACGAGTCTTAATCTATGCTTTTTTGACTTGTTGGTGTTTCTGACTCATCATTTAATGGCGCCATGCCAGCAATCAGCTGTTATGCGAAGGGTCCAGAGTCAACGCAAGACTCAACCTCAACTCACTTGGCCACTGAGCCACCGAACTCAGCAGCAATCGGCTTGTTTTTCAGCTGTTCAGTTTTGCTGTAGGCCATTGACCTGCGATAGTGATCGCAGTACGCGAAAATAAATGCACTTCCTTAATAGAGCGTTCTTTCGGTAGAAGAAAAAGTCGAAAGAAAATACGGACACGTGGCACGGCACAGATTCAGTTGCATAAGCAAAGACGCGGTTGAAAATCAATGCCAAAGACGAACGTTCCACAAACCTCGTCACTTTATTGCGTACCTGTCACTTCTTGAAGGCACGCAAATGCACATTGTTGGTTGTCCAAGGGTATCGGTTGCACATTGCCCCCGAAACGTTCTTTCTACACACACCTCCAAACGTGCGCCACCGGCCATGGATTTTAACCTCGGTTTCGGGGGCTGGTTCCAGAAATTGGTCATCGACCGGTCGTCGTTACTGACTGCTTTCATATCTCGATACTGTAGTCTTTTGTACAGTCGCAGAATATTCATCAATGCCAGCAGCCAATCGAAGACGTCGCGATCACTGGCCCCGACTAGCAGTACATTGCATTTGGACGTGATCAGTACTATACCGTGTCTACACTCATCGACCTTCACCCGCCTCATCAGAGTCGTCCGACTGTTGAGAGGCACCACCTTGCACTTCTCAGCCGCTCTTCCTGCCTTCCTGCCATTGGATATCTTCAACGCCCCTCTCGTTCTCGTTTTTCCCCATTTTCTTTCGGTATGCAAAACCAGCTGCACGTACCTCTCGTTAGTTTGAGAGCTCTGAAAGTAAAGCGTTATAAAAAGGAGGCACAATTTAATTCCTTGCTGTTATGCGATATAAAGAGCGTTTCGTTGGATTCATTCTACTAGCCTTATTTAGGCAATAGAATAAAAATGGTGAGAAGCTATATACATACCAACACAAACGCAAAGAATACCCTTTCTGGTGAGAAGGTTAGCAGTATTTTCATGTTTCTAGCGAAGATCGTGGTATGGTAGTGCATAAGTGCTCGACGTCGGCTTCGAACATTGGAAGGGCTGGGTTTAATTTCAGTGAATGACTATCTTTTTCTTACGCACGAATCCTGTTCAGTCAAACATTTTCCATAATTTGCCTCAGACCTCAGACCAGCCTTGCTAAGACTGTAGAGCGTGAAACTTGGAACCGGGAGGTTCCGGATTCATGCCCAAATCGGGGTTAATCTCTTTTTTTCCTCACCTTTCTGAGGCTGATAAATCATAATCCCCCTGTGGGAAGAAAGCAGGAGACTACTCACTACGCTTGCCAGGAAGCTACTGTCGACCTCGCCTTTAAAAAAAGACACTCTTGGCTGATGGCATGAAAATGAAAATAACGTCTGGCACAATTCAGTTCATGAAACGAAGGGCGATGCAATGACTCCGGTTAGAACTGGTTAACGGATATCACGGTATTTAACTGCATTTTATTATTGATTAAATTTTCACAACCGGAAGCCTTACGTCGTAATGCTTCAACGTCCTTCAAGGTTAGGTTAGCTTCGACGTTTCTAACAACGGTTAACAACTTTCTCCTTTTCCTTTTCTATCGAAGGAGCAGGAGCTTCGGCTCAACCGCATGCAACTATGTTGTCTTCGACACATAATGAGCATTAAATGGCAAGACCTCGTAAGGAGTGACTCTATTCTTCCCTTGGCACAGTCTACTTCTGCAGATGTGGAGATTGAGAAAAAGAGTTAACCATGTTAGACAAACTGGTTGAGCATAAGGCATTTACTCCAGTCCAGGCGGCACTCATGAGGTAACTTAAACATGGCAGATGTCGACCAGGAGGCCAGCATGCAACATAGAGGAACAAGATAGAGGAAGATCTACCATTGGAGAGGAGAATAGGTTTTCCTCACTTATTCTGAACGTATAAAATTCTTGACCGCACCTAAGGTGTAGAATTTGAGCATTCATCTCTTTGAACACTGGTGAAAAACACAACTACCATCAGAATAATATGCTGTGATAATAATCGTAGTAGCTCTTTTCCACTCCCGGTTAAGTACAGTGGCATAAATCTGCTTTCTATGCCTAACAAGACCTAGGTTTAATTTAATGATAATTAGATTAAACCACGACGTTGGAAAAATGATGAGAGGTAGAATGGTACAAAGACAATCATCATTTGCAACATTGATGAGATGATAAATGTTTACCATCTCTTGGCTAACTTATTTTACAAGGAATAAGTGGTCTTATTTTAAAGTCATATTGACTCATATGTCTGCGAGTATGTTTAGAGAGCATTACGCCGTTGTTAGTAGATTAAGAGAGTAGTACTTTAGATCCGGTGATTTTGAACCTTGATCTTGTGAGAATTCTGTTCTATAAAAAAATATCATTTTAATATTCCTGTGATTGTGTAGACCTGAAAATCTACTTGACATAGATCCGGCAAGCAATATAATGATTTTTTTTTCGATTAATAGTTTTAAGTAGAATTACGGGTGATGGGACGACAACATTACTGAATTTCTGTTTCCGTATGAGGATGTTAAGCTCTGCGCTTTAGAATAGTCCTCTAGAACCATGCGCAGCAGAATTCGGACAAAAAAATCCAGAAGAAAAGAAGGGATGAAAGTAATATAATTTAGATATAGATTTTAAGCATGAATTTGTTTCACAATTCATGTATATTTTTTTTCTCAAGATGTAAGTACTTTTGATAACCATTGGTGTGTTTGATACGTGGTACTGTACATGTGCACTGACGGTCATGCCAGAAAGAAAGAGGCAATCTGATTATACACGATGCCATACATTACTCTTTTCGGCAACAGACCGATATCGGTTTTTCAGCCCGTATCTCACGGACCTTCGTCTTGGTAAAGGCGATGTTTTTGGTTGCTGTGAAAGCTGCGGCAGTAATTGGCTCGTTTGCAGCTAAGGAGACTTGCTACATAGATTTAGACGTAAGTTGCGTATGTACTGGATTCATGGCAAACAGTGCCAATGGCTCCTACCCCTAAATCTCTTAGGCCTTCTAGAGCAGCTGACAGAGCAGTAGCGCTAATTACTTTTAAATTCTTGGAAAGAATGGTCCTCTGACGATTTATTTAAGTACGTTGGAACATATCGATCCGTGGCAATTCAGGTATGTGCTAAGACGCAACACTCTGGATGCCTTGACTGTAGTCGTCAACACAATCGCCAGCAATCTTGACGAAGAACAAGCATCAATCAGGGTGCCTTTCTGTGCCGTATTTAGACAGTTGGTCAGGATCAGTATGGAGTCACGATGTCAACTCTCTGGCTACGTATTATTCGACATTCGGACATTTTGTTCAGGTCGACAAGAAGGAATCCATGACTCATGTGAGAACGCGCGTGGTCGCCCAAAAGTCTTGTTTGTCAACTGCACTGCTCATCTTATACACGATGGCACCCACCAGGTGCTACCGCAAAGCGCGTGAAGCACGCTGACGATACTGCTAGACTGGCTTCAGTACTGTCCGGATCTGAAGTACTGCCTTTTTTCGTCTTCCCTCGAAAGGGGAGGACCACCGAGTTAAGTGGCAGTGACCTAACGCTGAATACAAAGAAATTTATGGATCGTAGTTTCGATGTGTGCAAGTAGAGCCTGCATGGAATTTTCCTCATCATCTGCATAGTTCCGCAACAACTTATTTGAAACAAACTCAGCGGTAGTATGTCTGAGGTTGATTTTGGATCCGTGTACTAGGTGGGACCAACAGTTGACTGCAATGGTTCAGATCTGTTGGAAGACTTCAGTAAAATGCTGCATTTTACCATTCTTTCTCTACGCTACATCATTATACTATTATTATTACACTATCATCATACTACTGTAGCCTCAGGAGAAAACTGCCGGCTCACAGTCAGAACCTTCTGGAGCTATTTGGCTGAATCTGCAACTGCGGTTCTGACCAGTTTGGAAGTATCATATACAGTCTGTCTAGACAGTTCTGTTTTAACTGACAGAACTCAGCCCGGTGTCAGTGTGCCCAACAACGCCTTTCGAAGCGGCCAAACACACGGACGTGTACGCTCCTTGCAAGTGCCGGACTGAGGCCTAGCGGAGGTCAGTCGTTCCGTTCGGTGCTCAATATTTGATCGATTCCGAGGAAGAAGAACTGTCATTTTTAATTTTAATTTTCGACCAGACTTTGGTCAGCCTGATATGGATCCACTTTTACTGCTGATTTTGTTACTTAGCATTTATTAATTGTTATATCAAGAGTGCTGGCAACTGATCTTGTGCCTTGGAGGATTCAGTTAAATGAATTTCACTGACTGACATGCAACTAGCCAGCAATGAAACTTTCGCCGTCAAGTACTTTTCCAAAGAATCCAGATACTTGAAGAAAATATGGCATGGTCTTCCGCAGTGCATGATGCTTACTGAACGGCTGTATAGTTAGTTGAGACCATCAGTTTGAGCCGTTTGGATGAGCAGAACTTCCTAGATTTATGATGCCCGCTGTACTCACATCTTTTCAACAGAGTTGCTATAGGACACATGCTACGGTAAAAGTGGACGTTCCTCTCCAAAGCGCATCTGCCTCTACCTTATTCTCCCTGTTTCATGCTGACGTCAGCATTACTTCGGTTCCCATACAGAAAGGTCATGGACTGGAGTAAATGATTTATGAGTTATGCTAAACCAATCTGTCAAACAAGAACTGTTTCAAGCTGATGGCTTTCAGATTTCGATCTATGGTTTATGGAAACAATCTGTGCTCAAACGGCTGTTTTCTTTTCTCAATCGATACAATTTATTGACCGCCACTTGTTCCATCAGAATCATTTCTTGCTATTCTTCAGCTATGGTTCTTGCTCCTTGCTAAGAACAGCTGTCTCCATGCTGTACAACAACACCGACCTCTCGAAGGCAAGCTCAGGCAGATTTTCGTAGGTGGAGTAACTCCTTTGTCAGCCGAAATGTTGGACACGTTTCCAAAAGCACTTGAGGTTAGGGAACGATCCTCGTATTTAACTCTAATTGGATGATGCCATTAGCATAAACGATAGAGCCGAAATGGCTAATTTGGTCAACCTCCTTTTTTGACCAGCTCTCTACACCTCCCTGTTCCAGTGGAGGATCGACTTTTCCGGACTGATTCCACTGAATTACTTGAACTGCCAAAATGGCCAGTTTTCACAGACGTTAGCCCACTCGATGTAACGAATTATTGTCTGCCACTTGAACTGACGTTCTTTCATCAACTTTGTTAGGCGTCAAGATGAGTCACGCTTTAACATTCAAATCGAGAGACGAACCGGATTTTATTTCATTGCGAGGCGACCGTTACAATTCATTCGTTGCGTAGTCGTTCATCGACTTACAGTGGCATCAGCGCAATAAACTTTGGTTCGAATAAGGTCACCAAGTGGTAATAATAATTTTTTGGTAAACATGGCTTAAATGTCAAGTTTATGTGGTGCTTCAGAAATGTCAGTCATTTTGGTGACATGTAATCAAGGTGCGAGAGGAAACACTCGAAAGGCAAAAGTTCTTGGCAAAGTCACATGGGAGACCGTCACACTGAAGGGCGTACAAAAGCTCAAACGGCTCGATTGCATGGAAGACTCGATTTCTCTGTTCCTGTGAATCTTGGCAACGCAGTTCACCTTCGCAGAAGACCCCACCGTTTTTGAAAACATTTCTGGCACAGTCTGCCTTATGACCGTAAAGAAACAGCACGCTTTGAACATGAACTATTGGTCATGTCATTTTTTACAGTACTTAATGCACTGCGTATTCACAAGACAGACTTTTTATAGTAGCCCCAAACTTTCAATTCGATTCCTGAAAGAAGGCTTAAAACTTTGACCAGCAACAAATTACTGAACCATATTGTACAAGGAAATAAAAATGTTATATTTTTGTGAAAAATAAGCGGCCAATAAGACTGAAAGTCGAAAATTCTAATATGCGATCAGGAGATAGAGTAGATAAGCATTCTGTTACTACGGACAACAGCAAAAACTAGTGAAGAGTCATGTTTTCTGTTTCATCAGCCACTCATGTGTCACGTCACGCCGCCTACTACAGCTGGAAGCGCAGATCGTTAATATTTCTCAAAAGCAATATATGGCCGACTAGTCGTAAAAACATAACGGATATATGAAAAGTAACGACCGCATATGACTCACGATTACATGTTTCATTTTGCTGTACACTGAAAAGTTAATTCTAAGTTATTATGGCCATTATTTACATGACCGCAGCCTTCGATCATCAGGCGAAATTTCACCACTGTGCATAACCTCAGCCTTATTCTTGTGTGATCCACATATTAATTTGTTTACCCGTTTCGGCTTTAACTGACGTATCCAATTACTACCTATCATCTGCTGAAAATCACGTATTTCTTCAACAACAAGTTGCTGTACTAAACAACAGGCTTTCTAAGCCAGAGTTAGCCGGTTCTGTGCCACCAAGACTTTAGGAGTGTGCTGATACAGTGGTAAGAAGTCGGCTTCGAACTGTTGAGGTGCTGAGTTCAAATTCCGCAGAAGGAAAATCTTTGACTCGTGTGTTTCTTCGTTGAGCAGAGGAATTCCCTCTCCCGTTGCTTCGTTGCAATTAATTTGGACGGCATGGTGTACTTGTGTGATCATGAAAAATTGAGCGAGATGTGCACCCATGCTTTCTGATGAAATGTCTTTAAGAGTTGCAATTCGCCTCGACTCACATGAGAGCAGACTTTCCAGTATGTTAGTAACCATAAGGCGTATGTTTCGTCGTTGAATTTCCTCATGTCCCTGCTACGGAGGTCCTTGATGGCCATCGATCCTTCCGCGGTGGATCATGGTATGAGTATTCTTTTCTTACCATGCGATAAAACACCTCTCACATTCCAGAGGATTTGGCGAATGGAAAAAATTTCTAACTTCAAACGATAATTATTTCAGTATACAAAAAACGTCATATCTAATGATTGGAATTCAAGAGGAATTCAACTTCTTGCGAAAGCCAGAAAGTTATTCAAAGAATTGGTATGAGCAGAATCTACCTTTATGCAGAAAAGTCGATAGAAGAAAAAGACTACAAGCTTCCACCGTGATAACCCACCACTGACCAGAACCTTGCTCACGTTCATGTTCCGCCCTTTGCCAGAAACATTTTTTCGATGCTGCATGCCCTGGTTCGTGGATTGGGTTACCAGGGTTGAGGCAACGTCAGATTTCCTGTGCCATGATCAAAAAACACTGAGCTGTCTCAGACAGATCTGCACTGGGCACCACAGTAGGGCAACAACTCAACAGCGGATCAATGCTGCTCCATAACCGCATGGAGGTGCTGATAACGGAAGAGGTTAATGACATTGACAGGGAAGTGATGCTCCATGTTGATTGCATCACGTCCATTGCAACAAAGTCGTTGCTTTGTTATCATCGTCCTCTGGGGGGGGGTAT